CAACAACAACAACAACAACAACAACAACAACAACAACAACAACAACATTATATAGATGGTGAACAGGTGTGCTGATTACTAATGGAGGACAGGTGGGGTGGTCGGAGCTGCAAACAGAAACCAGGACCACTGAAAACTCAAGATCATCAGAGAAACCCAACACGACGATCTGGAAGCAGCTCAGAAACCAGTTCAACTGGTTTTAAGCCATTTTAAAAAACTTCCAGCAACGAGACGAGAGAAAAGCCGAGCGCCCGACACAAGAAAACTGAGAATCCTCTGAAACGTTTTGAGACATTTTGGAGATTCAAATCTCGTTAGCAAGCTGTCGCTAACACGAAGCATGTCCTGGAAAGATGTTTATGTATAAATATATCAGTCGTGTATTTATATTTTATTTAGTAGGTAAATATATATGTAGAGGAACTTCCTGCAGATAATCTTTAAAAATTCAGTTTTGAAGCCAAGATCTTAATCCAGAAGTTAAAAATTGCGATTAAATAATTTAGTTTCTCTCCGTTTGTACTCACATCCTGATTTATGCTCCGTATTCTGCACAGTGTTGTTGTTTACGTTGGACCTCGTTGTTTGATCACATTTTAATATTTTCAGATTCTCTGTGTTTGAAATCCAGTCGGGCCTCGTTTGTTTAATCCCCCCTGACGTTGCACAGAAGCTCCGTGATGAATCAGAACCAGGACCAGTCAAACAAAAGCCTGCGGTTCTGAGGAGCTTGGAAACCCGGATCAAAGCGGACCCAGACGGTCTTCCTCCGTGTGATGCTGCGGATCAGAACCCTCGTGATGTTTTCCTTCTGATGTGAGGTTCGGCTCGTTAGGCCGTTATGGGTCAGAGCGGCTTCAGAGAGAATAGCAGAGCGGCGGGCCCGTTGTGGAGGTTCTGTGGGCTTTGTTTGGACCCTGCGGGCCTCCTCGTTGGTATGCGGCGCCGCAGCTCCATCTCTTCGAGTGTTCCTTATCTGTCCTCCTTCGTCTGACCTTCTGCTCTTCTTCTGGGAGCCGATGACTGAATACAGATCAG